GGCGCCCGCGCGCGCGGGCCGCCACAGGCGGGCGCCGCACGAGGTCCAGCAGGGGTTGGCCGCTAGAGATATCCCGTCCCGACAGCAGCGTACTGCTGAGGATCTCCGGGTTACGTTTCACTATCTGCAGCTCGTGCTCCATTCACTGGTTTGAATCATTGCTGCACGGCTGCGGAGTCCCCTCGCGGCACCGCCGCCCCGCACCCTCCACCTGTGAAGCGATGAAGTGTACCCACCCCCCCTCCCCCGCGCCCCAGATGGACTGTGGCAGTTTGAACGGCACACACCTCAACGGGAAGCCGATCGGGCGCGAAGGGCGCCTGCCGGGGGAGCGCCTCCCCCTGGCCAGCCACGACGCCGTGGAGTTCGGGTCCGCCACTCGCTGCCGCCTGCGCTGCACGCCGTCGCGCGGCGCCACTGCAAGCCCCACCGTCGCCGCCGCCGCCGCCGGCAGCCCCGCGGGCGTGCGGCCGGACGGCGGCGACCCTCTCGGGGAGTGGCTGGCCGCCGGCGAGCCGCGGCGGCAGCCGCAGCCGATGGGGGCCGGCGGGTGGCCGAGCGGCGGGCCGGGCACGGCGGGGGCGCAGCCGCCCTCGCACCAGCAGCAGCAGCAGCAGCAGCAACCCCTGCAACACCACGTTCACACCAATCATCATCACCACCACCAGCAGCAGCAGCAGCACGGCATCACTCTGCCAGACCCCTTGGACACGGGTCCTGGCGTTGGCAGCAGCAGCTGCTCCGGCGCCGGCGCCGGCCCCGCCGCCGCGCCGTCCCCCTCCGCCCCGGGCGCCGCGGCCGCAGCGACGGCCCCCGAGGAGCTGCGGTTTCCCCGCTGCGGGGTGGAGGCGGCGGCGCTGCAGCGTGTGGGGGCGGACCACCGGCGGCAGGGGCAGGAGCTGGAGGACGTCGTGTTCTGGGAGGCGCCCCTCAGGGAAAACCCCCAGGTGGGGGTTACAGTCAGGGCGCCGTCACCAAAGTCGTCACCCGGGCCTGCCATCAGAGCGTCACGAGCCCGGACGATCATGGGCCCGCTAGTTTGTGTGTCGAGCGCCGTGTGTCCATATCGACCTCTGCCGCCTCGCTGCAGCAGATGCGCAGGGCCGCTTGAGGCTGCTGGTGGGGTCGGGGTTTGGTGGGGAGCTTGCCCTTGCACACGGCACGATGCACACGATACACACACACAGACACACACACACACACACACCTGCGCGCAGGCGGCGCTCTTCTGCATATTTGACGGCCACCACGGCCGCGGCGCCGCCGAGCAGGCCGCAGCCCTCCTGCCCCCGCAGCTCATAGCACACCTCCGCCGCGCCCCCGCCGCCGCCGCCGCCGCCGCCGAAACGGCCAGCGGCGCCGGCGCAGGCGCGGGGTCGCAGCTCGGCGCACCTGCTGCCGCCGCCGCCACCGACGCGGACAGCAGCGCCGGCGCCGGGGAGGGGCCGCCGCTGCTGCTCCGCGCGTCGGGCGCCGCGGCAGCGGCAGCGGCGCTGGAGGCGGCGTTTTTGGAGGCGGACGCGGCGCTAACCTCGGACGACGGCTGTACCGCGACGGTCGCGATACTGGAGGCGGTGCCGGCTGGCGGCAGCAGCGGCAGCGGCGGCGGCGGCGGTGGGGGACGGGATCGCGGGGGCGTGGCCCTGCAGGTCGCGAACGTTGGGGACTCTGAGGCTCTGCTCGTGGACCTGCGGGCCAGGTGGGGCGCCAAGCGTGCCCTGGCGGCTGATGAGTAATGGAGTGCGTGCGCTTCAGGAAGCGGGAGGAAAGGAGCGGGGGTTTGCCGGGGGCGTGTGCTCGCGCGTGTGATGGGGGACGGGGAGTCCGGGGCTGCTCCTCCTCCGGACCCGCAGCCCGCCCCACTGCACCCGACCCTTCCCGCATCATTCCCTACACACCGATACGCTGACATACACACACACACATACACAC